ACTCAATGTGCTGCTAAAAATTAGTTTTTTCGCTTGTTTCCAACAACATCGAAATATTTGACTATGGGCCAATTCGAATGCCCTATTAGGGCTAACGATAACGTGGTGGTATGAAATAAATAAATACGGAAATGTTATCGCAATTATGTTCTCTTGTTAAGAAATGTTTTCTCATAAATGATGCGGTAAACAGAAGGACAGAATTACTTTAAACTGACGCCGTTTTTAATTTCTATAGGTTGCATCGATACAAGCATGGTTTTATATACTATCGTGTTTAATCATGTTTTATGCCGTTCGCCAATATCCTACTTGATAAGTCGCTCGTAAAACACAGGAGGTATGGAAACTAAGAACACCAAATGTGGTAAATTGTACAGCTAATATAACACAACACATTAGTTGTATTTCCTTTAACTGGTGGATTATGGATATATAGTTGCTGATCGACAGCTGGAACACAAACCACCAAATACAAAACAATTATTCAGATCCAGTCGTCATGACTCCACTCCGGAGGGATTCCCCGATCATTTCTTACAGTTTGTCATCAAGGGGGTGTCTCCTGTCCCCGGTACAAACACACTGCCTGAGGAAGGTTAGGCTATGTGTAATCTTTTTGTCATCAACCTTTTTCGGACAACTTATTTATTTATTTTGGTGACGATCCGACCTCCATGCTTTTACTCTGGTTCAAACTGCATCCACCAAACAATATTCAAATTATCTCGACCTCCCCAAAATAACCAAAATCTGACACGGTGTGAGATGTCTTTTTTAGTTGTTCTGTCGTCATTTCTTGTGATCTTCTTCATGCAGTCAGTCAAAATGAATGAATGAATGGGCGTTACATTAAGCCCTCAAAAGCTGCGCCGCATTTCGAGTTGATTGTGATTTATAAAGGGAAACCGGCGTAGGACGTGCCACACGCAGTCTTTTATGAATCGGAAAGTGTTGGTGCATATTTATTTGCTTTGCAAGCAACCTTCCCACGCCAATCCTACGCAAGGCTTTATAAATGAGGCCCCAGGAAATGGATTTCAGCGCGCCATGTTGAAGGACATCTAATTTCTCTAAATGCACATCGAGGATCGAGCATCGAGTAGGCTCTCTGGAGGAGCTATAATCGAGGATACACTGATGGCTCCTCCGCGGCTCATCCACGGATGTATTTCCAGCAACAGTGATTTTTCAAAGAGTCGTGACGCAAGGCCGGACTTATCTCAGCCAATGACAGCTCTGCATGCATCCCCTGGATATTATTTTATTAAAGGTCCCATATCATGGCCATTTCTACTGATCATAATTCCATTGTTGAGATCTACTAAAATCGATTTATATTGTGCAATTTTCCAAAATCACATTGGTATCTCATACATCATCTCTGTATAGTATGTGTATTCACTCTCTGTCCTAAACGGCTTGTTGGAGCTCTTGGGTCCCATGTCATGCTCGGAAAATGCTCGGAAAAGCATGACATGGGACCTTTAACTGCTTTCATCACGACGCAATGTTTACAGTGAGAACAGCTGTGAGGTCCGTGGCAAAAGCAGAGCAGTGTGTATAATATATATATCACTCAGTATAACAGGCCTACATTACTCTCTTTATTTGTATACTTAGTAGATATCTACAAACATTATTATAATTATCATTATACCGCACTGTGAATGAATTAAAAGTAAATATATAAGTCATCATGAACGCAGTTCTGCCCATCAGACAGAGGGCTGTGCCTCCTGTCATCATGAATGGACGTCTCTTTAAAATGAGCGCTCAGAGGAGAGGAGTTCTCATTTCTCTAACCGCCTGCTGCTTCCCTTCCTCTCTCCTCGGTTCCCCTCCTCGATTCCCCTGATCGCATCCCCTGTGGGAGGGACTAAGACACGAGGGCAGGAGTCGAGGAGGGGAATTAGAGAAATGAGAAACCTTCATTGAGAAATCAATGTGTTTTTTAAATGCTTTTAGAAATAAAATACATAGATCTGTATTTGTCCCTCTCATGTTCCAACGTTTCGACTTAAAGCTCATGAACACACCAAAGCCAAAAGAATAGGAACATCTGAGGAGAAAGTACATTTTGCACTCTCACAGTTCTTTTTTAGCCTTTGGTCTTCAATGCCATTGTGAAAGCAACAAAAAGCAACAATCTGCTAATTCCCAAGTCAAGAATGACCCTTAAAGCTAACCTATTTCTAGTCAATGCACTACAAGCTGCCATGGATTTTCAGAACATCTAAAATGTGTTTGAAAAAGTGGAAAAGTATGGGGAAACAATGAAGTTCCTCAGTAGCCAGAAGGGCAAAACTTTTTTAATGCTGAGTTGCTCACATAAGTGAGTATATCCTCCTCAGGATACTGGTGTGAAAGACAGCTCAGCTCATGCTGACTTGATTTAACAAAAGGCTAAAAGAAAAATACCTCTAGCCTGCGGTCAGCTCTCTGCAGTAGGTAGCCCAGCTCCAAATCCTGGAGGTCTGTCTCAAATCCCAGGTAGTTCTCCGTAGAGTCAGCCACCATGGACCTGCAGGCCCCCTGCGTCAGGGCGAAGCCGGGGTTGCAGCTCCCACAGCGTGTGTGGTTGTCTGGTGCACAGGCAGCACAGGCCGAGCCTTCCCCAACGGAGCATGGCGGGGGCAGCTGACAGGGGCTGTGTTCGTATCGGCAGCTGCAGCTGTGGAGCTCCTCAGAGAAAGCACCAAGCTGGTTGTTCTCTGAGCAATACAGGAGGGACTGTATATGACTCAGCCAGTATGACTGAGACCTGCACCATAGAAAAAACAGGACGAAAGAGAGAGGAAGAAGAGGAGTGTTATTGAACAGGGCTTATAGGTTGAGCTAGTTTAATAGGTTGCTGCTTTATTGTGTCCAGGAGACCTGTCGGGTGTGCAGACAGCTTGCTCATTAAAAAATATAAAGCATCATCAGCATTATGTAAAGCATGCAGCTTGCCCCAGAGGATTCAAGTAAGCATGGTTTACATTTAAACGTTGAACAAATGACTCATAATTGTATTAGGTTAGTTGAAAGCAATAATATTAAGTTGAAATAAAAAAGAATAGGTTCAACTTGATGCTATTGTTTCAACTAACCTAATGCAATTATGTGGAACCTGGAACCATTAGACCTCCAGTCCTACTGGAATGTACTGGCTCCACTACGTTTAAATCTTAGTTTTAATGTCACAGCTACCTTTTGTCCTAAGATTGCATGGAAGGGTTCGCAAAAATAACTGTTATTGAGGCAGGCTGGCCGGACATTTCTGTTGACTACCAGTTTTTTGTTGCATTAAAAAGTGAAGGTTACACATGCAAAGAATGTGAGCACAAACCTCGGAGTTTGAAAAGGAACAGAAAGCGCAAGAGTATAGACAGAGAAAGTTGTCTTTGATCAATTTGTGACATAAATACTAGAAGCAGCTGCAGCCGCAGGGTAAATGACTCTCAGGCATGTAATTCCCCCATGTGGGCCCGAGTTTGATTCCCGTCTGTAGCACTTTCTTGACTGTGATCCCTTTATGCCTCTTATCCTCTTTGCTCGCTGAAGAGAGGGAACACACTGCACTACATACCGCTGGCTTTCCTTTCATAAAAAAAAGAACCCTCTTTCTTTGATGAGGGTGTATTGTGGTAAACTTTATGCTAATCTTAAAATGTGTGCTGGATTACATATGGGGCTTCCTTCCATTGTATCCAAATCATATTGTGTGCTTGGCAGTTGGAAGCTAGTCTGAATTCAGAGAATCACTGATTTAAATATCAAAACCCCCAAATGGAAAAAGCGGTCATGGGAAATGATCCGGAAAGGCTCTTTCTTTCCATCACGCGCTACCTGTGGACAAGGCATTTCATCTCTGACAGTTTCAGCAGAGCAAAGCTGTCACCAAGACGAGACTGTGGCTGTATTGTTAGTTCCCCGGTGTACGTAGCCTTTGCCTGCACTTCCTACAAACAGCTGCTGTAAATCACAGTGTCTTTGTTTTAACTCATATGGTGCTTTTATAAGAGCAAGTGACACTGAAAATAAATCAGCTAAATGTACAGTGACTGTTTTTTGAATAAAACAACTCAGCCAAAATTTCAAAGGACACTCAATTTTTTGTTTCTATCGATAAAATACTATTTAATAAAGGAAAAGATAAAAGGGACCTCCCTTACGTTGGTGGAATTTCAAATAAAAACATATTTGGATTCCTTGACAGAGTGCAAGGTTTCCTTGAAGTAATGTACAATTATTGTCCAGAAGTGTCTACACCAAAATATTACACCCACATGTTATAAATAACCATGCCATTCCCAATCCATTGAGAAAAATGATTTGGCTCTAAACAGCCTGCAGTTTGCTGGTTGTTCCTGGCTTTCACTATTTGGGAACATGGCAGGAATTTGCTCCTATTCAGCAACAACTGATGGTGGGCTATAGGGCCTGTTTTACAGTTGGTGATCCAGTTAATCTAAAATATATCTACCAAGTTTAAGATTATTTGAGCGGTAGTCAACTCCACACTGGGCAAACCATTCTTTATGGACCTAGCTTTTCACATTGTCATGTTAGAACAGTTAGAAAGACAGCAATGTCTAAAAACCACGACAATCATCCACAAACCAAATGGACGTACGTATGTGTAAAGAACTGGGGGGTAGATATATTATGGCTCACATCAGCAGCATATGAACAAGCTGGGCAACACCTTATTTGTTTTTGTAAATAATATATTGTATTGTTTCTAATAATATTCATTCCTAATAACTTATATTGATCTTCTGTCGGAGGCAAACAGTCAGTCAATCAGAAGCTTGAATCAAGCAAGACAACTGGAAGAAAATACCAGTGTCATGACATGCAATAATTACGCCTTCTGGCAATTTTTCCTCAGTGTGAAATCATGTAATTGAAACAGTGTAAGGCTGCTAAGATGAAATTGGTCTGATCTACTTATCCCTTGACAAGTTAATTAAAAACTTATTCAACCTTCCCTTTTTCTTGCTTTGTTGTGAAATTATAATTGCACTCTGAGAGTCAAAAAAAAGAATTGAGAGGACTCTTCCAGTGAAGCATTGAACAACTTGGCATACATGCACACAATTGGCACCTTTTCTTGAAGCCTACACACAAGAAAGGCATTTTCTAAGCTGATTAAACCAAAAGCAGTGAAATCACTACATGAATGACAATATTCATCGTTATGCCTAATGGCAAAAGTTTGAGCACAAAGCGAGCTGTTCAGTGTTATCATTACCCGCCTAATAAAAGCCAAGCTGATTGCTGCTTCGACTGGCTTATTCGCTCATAATTGTCAGCGCGGAGAACCCCCAGGAAGCAAAATCAATCACATATCCCTCTATCTCAAGTGCCTAAAACAGGATTTTGAAATAAGAGTGAGGATTTTTTCGAGAGCTTCCGTTTCTCTCCAAGGCAAAACAGACAAACACCCCATTCTCAATCTCTTTCTTCTGAGTATGGATATATCTGTGAAGAGGGAAAAGAAAGGGAAAGCTTTATAACTGCCATGGCGGTAATAACATAGATAAACACTGCCTAGGCGATGGCGCTCCCAGTTCTTTTCTTGCCAAGTGTTTAGAAATATCAGCTGCGTAGATCAGAGATTAATCTGTGTTGTGACAATGTGGCGGCTGCGAGAATAACACAGATCGGGACTGAGACAGAGGAAACAAAGAAGAAGCGAAGAAACAAAGGGACTGGACATTGAATAGAGCGGTAGATGATTTATGTTTTGTAACTGGCAGTAATGGTTGGATCCATCACCTTCAGCAATCAAGTCCACTGACAAAGAAATGTGTGAATGTGAATTTCATTTCATCTAAAGCAATAGTCTGAATGTTCAGAACATGTGTTTACCAGCATTTGTAAAACACGCAAAAGGACCTGTTTGTATTTATTTTATTGACTTTGCCGGCACGTGAAAAATCTCTCTCTTCTGTCAGCAGCTGAAGGTTGGCAGTGATGTTACAGCATCTCAAAAAGTCTCAGAGGCTGCAGTGGAAGATAGTTTCTATAAAATCTTTACTTGGTTTTCTGACAAAAGTGAACATTGGTTTCGCTGTAGGGCAGTATTTCCCAATTTAACCAACTTGGTTATAATATTCCCTAAACTAAACCCTAACAATACAGAGTTTGATAAATCCTCTAATATGCAGAAGAAGTGGTATTTTGTTGTTTACGGCCATTAAATAAAAGCAGAGAATGGGGTTGCAGAGGGATGTCATGAAGATGTCCAATGAAGTCCAATTAAACGATGTCTTGATTCCATGAATATTTCAGGATCCAAATAAAGATTATAAAAAGGAAAGCTTGTGAGCAGTAGATGTGTGGCTTGTTATAATGGCATTTTACTGCCTTTCAACATGGGGCAGGATCTACATATTTCTTTGTGACGGCTGTAAAAAAAAGAGATGATGAATCCATACATTGAATGGCTATGCCACCACAGCAATGCCAGCTTTGTTACTTCCACCTATATCCCTTGATAAGTCTATAGAAATAACTGGAGGACGTGTTGATCAGTGGCTTTAGGCAAATCATTTCAGAATCACATGGAGTTATATAAATCAAACAGTAAGGAAAATGAACTTCAATACCATTTTTTTTCTTAACTAAATGAAAAATATAGGCGGCAGTAGTTTTAATGAAGATCAAAGCTGACATAAAACCATCAAAGCTTTGTCAAATTGTGAAAAAATATATCTGGCATACATAGTTGCATTGCACATAAGATGAGTATTTCATTGCTCACCGTTCTCTCGGTAGGTGGACTTGGGGCTGGCGCTGACATCTTTTACTGAGACTGAAGAGCTTGAAGATGACTCTCTGGGCTCTACTGGAGAGGACTTGCATGCTGTTCTCCAGCTGCTCATAACGCCACTGGAACAAGTTGTCCAACGCCCACAAGTGTTGTATGCCTGACACATTCAGGAAATAGTTCTGCGGAAGTCTTGAGTAGAACGCCTTGAATTCATCTGTAACAACAAAAAAGACACATATTTTACTAGGCGATATCTAATTGTTTTATTGGATGTTGACTTCCTCTTATGCAATATAAGGTCTTTACATTATAAATGCTGATTCACTGGTACCTTATTAAAGAGTATGAGTTGTGGTATTTTACTTTTACATACACATAATGGAACCCTGACACAAAATATACTATATCTATGTTGCCTTACTGTTTTTTTTTCTGTCTTGTGTTTATATCCTTTTTTAATTTCTGTTCTTTCACATAATTTATGTCAATGATTATCATACAACTTGGTGTGCTTAAAAACCTTTAAAGGACAACCTCAAGGCTCAATTTATCTTTGGACCAGTGCTCTTTTGATTGTGTGATGCTATACAATGCAAAGGATGCAACAGATGTGTCATTCAGTTTGAGGCAATATATGCTTTGCTTCTCAGTTGCTTTTGAAGAGCCCTTTGAAATTCGTCGGACCCTTGCAGGCTTTTCTATTTGGGCTTGACATGTAGATCTTACCTTGAATTCTGGTACAGCATCTAGCAGGTGGTGCTTTTAAATTTAACTCAAAGAATTTGACTATGTCAGTAAAAATAGAAAATAAACCAAAAGCTTCCATACGGAGCCCTGGAGGGTTCATAGAGAGAAAAATAAACCCTGGTTGATTTACTGAGTTGATAACCAGCTTCGTAGGACCGCTTAGTGACATCGCGTTTGTTAGGTTTAGTTAAGCCGGGTAAATCAAACATATCCAGGGTCTGTTGAACTGGCTCCGTCGTACAGGGCACTGGAGGCAGTAACGTGTAACACAGCAGAATCTGAGAAGGCATTTGTTTTCAAATGACCACAAACAATAATTGTAACTGGTTCTCCATAGTAATATGTGTATTCCCAAGAGAAAGAAATTAGTTTAATCTTAATCTCGATGTGCTATAGTCCTGCCGGAGTGCACCGGAACGAACGATACTATCATATCATATGCCCACACACACACACACACACACACACACACACACACACACACACACACACGCGCGCCCTGGCGACCGGGCATATTCTTCATAAATTCAATTTAAATAAAACGAGGCCACGCTTTATTAACTCGTGCGCACGCTTTATTAACTCGTGCGCACGCTTTATCAACTCGTGCGAACGAGAAAGTAAAACGTGGCCACGTTTTATTTATTTTTCTCTCTATCAACCCTCCAGGGCTCCGTACTTCCATAATGAATGAGATGATAAAAGACAATAGTGTCCAGTTTACACCTGAAACAATTGAAATGGGATGTTTGTTCTTGTGACACAGGGTAACATTTATGTTTAAGTGTCATGAATAGAAAGACCATTATATGTTTGTTTTTTTAAATGCTGAATATAACCTCACTGATTAGTTGACAGATTACTAATGACAGTATGACTGAAGCTATTTGTAATAATGCAAGTGTGACAATCATGAACGTTGTCCTATGTATCACCATAAGGTTAATCTCCTTAATGTACTTTTCTCCTTTTACAACTGGCCAATGTGTTTATTATGTCAGAGACTTCTTTTTTATTTAAAATGAAATATGACGCTTTTTGTCACACTGATTATCTGCACTTATTGCTCCATAAATGGCACATAAACCCAGTCAATTATATTCATTCTGAATGCAAATGCCACATATTTTAACAATGAGTTAAATAAAACCCTGAAAAACACTGCAATTTTTATTTTCACCTGTTTTGTCATTTGGTTCAAGGTTAACCAAACTAGTGTGGGAGTTTATATTTGAACTCCATCTTTTTCAATGGTCCTCCACTTCCTGGTATCTCCCTCTGCTGATAAATCAGCCGGCTAGAAGCATGTGATATCCCTCGCTGAAGGACACATCTATAACACTTGCGGGTGTCTGTATTCTGGGCACACTCCTGCCCTCTCTTCACACCCAGCTATTATAACGTAAACTTTAAAAGTAATTGCACTTAGGATCTTTTTTTCCAAAGCTAAGTAGTGGAAAAAAAGACAGACATTTTGATTTCACCCGAGTAATAATCATCAAGGCAGAGCGACCTAGAACAGCAATAATAACCAAACATTAGACTAAGAGCTTCTGCCTAAACTTTGCTTCCCCCTGTGATATAAAAAGCTGGACGGGCAATAAGTGGGTTTTATGGCTGATTAATCTGCTCGAGACCTATTGGAAACTACCTGAGCCAGAAGCAATTCATTTATTTTATTTGTTTTATCCGTTTCTACAGTTCACTCTATGCAAAAAGTTTTCCAGAACTAACAATTCACTATAGGTTCACCTATAAATCACAGAATAGGGAGGAAAATATATATAGGAAGCTTACTCAGATTTAACGGTACAGATAAAACCTTTGAATTCCTCATCACTCCCTCTCAAATGTATTATTCCAAAGGTTTTTACTCCTGCATTTAGGATGAGGCATGCAACGTGAACAGAAGTACAAATCCATGATGGTCTTGCCTTTCTTACCTGACTCCTCAAACTCTTTATAGAGTATCCCCCATGTCTCTGTGATCCTTTCCAGGCTCTTTTCCATGGCTTGGATGTCCAAATAGGGACAGTTGCATTCTGGGAACTTGGGGTCACAATGGCACCAGCAGTCATTGTCCCTGCATACGAATTCACCCTCACCGTTACAGGCTATGTAACTGAGAGCAGCCTTCACAAAACCTTCTCTCAAGTAGTCAGGGAGGATCACCTGCAGGCCTGGGAAACCAAGGTTTACAATTGTCAAATGTGGGAAGTGACATTTTCATGACAATATAATGCTGCCTGAACTCATTTACTTAACACAATCTCTTAATCTGTATGTTATGTTGGTAATCCAAAGTACATATTTTCCAGAATCATCTTTAATTACACAAGAAAGTGGTACAAATTAGACAAACCTTGTAACTGGACTTTATTTTCAGGACTCTGAACCAGCACAGAGCTAACAGAGTCAAGGTTGTCATAGTTACTGCATCCAAGAGGACCTGTGCGGGTCTCCGTCACCTGGGCAACGACAAAAAAAAAAGCTCTTTTGTAAAATGATACTACATTTTTTAAATGTTGTTTCTATACATCAGATTTAAAAAATAAGTTTGATGGGAAGAATATGCCTTGTGTAATGGCTTTCTGTGTTAGGTTGAATCACAATGGTTTCTGCATAATAATATGTACTTGTGAATGTCAAACAGAAAACTGGAATAAAGATTGGTTTCCTTCTCTCGTTATTCTGCGAGAATGCTACACCTTTTTTTTTTTGTTTAGTCCATGATTGAAGTTTTTTCGATTGACCTTTTTGCCACAGAGCAATTCCAGCAAAGCATCCGTTTTCACTTCATTTGCAAGAAGAGATCTTATTTCAACGCTCTCCTTTTTCTTGCTTTGACACGGCGGAGGGCATCTAACTGATTCTCATTTTTCTCTCTTTGTGGTTCTAGGACACCATATTTTGTTCAGCAATTTGTCCTGCTCAGGCTTGTCAGAGGACAGTTGGTGTAAAGTGACGGATGGATGAGGTGAGACAATGAGGGTCAGTCGATCAGTAACACAATCATAAAGGGCTGAAGGGCCTGGGTACTCAAATGATGCCCGTGTTGCATGCAGGGAAAACAGAGGCTTTTTAATGAAAACCCTAATCCAGAATAAAGGGGTTTGATAGAGAAATAATACATATCTTCTGTGAATGAGAAAAGGAAATGAAGATAATTTGAGTTCAATTCTTCAGCAATAATATGACTATCACATTATAAATCCCTTGTTTCCCTCATGGGGTTTTCTAATGCTGATATGAATGTGAGGAAATGAGAAACAACCCTGGGTTTCAGACCACATGAATATTGAATCCTTATAAGGAATGATTTGATATGCCATATGATATGCCATATGGCAAAACGTTGACTGATGAGCAGAGTATTCAATTTCCGCTTTGCATAGCAGCTGCTATTCACTGTAGATACATTGTGGTATATTACAAATATGTAATAGGACATTATTGGCCACCTGTACCTTGGTACATGGCTGAGAGATTGAAGCAAATACTTGAACTGTTGCTAGATTTGTACCCTTTCTTTGGAATATTTGTGGTTTTATTTAATTATAGGAACTTTAATGTGCTAGAGTCCCAGGAGTATATTACCAACTAATTACTTGAGAGCAAAATACTCACAAATGATAAAACATTTTTTTGTTTAATTATAATTATTTATCCGGCATCCAACATATTGAGCGCAAAAGGATTGTTTGCCAATAAAGGCTAGTGCCATACTGCCTGACATATTGTCATGTTAAGAAGTGGTTATAGTTAAACTTCAAGGACTGAGTGGGCATGAGCGTCTGTCTAGTGAGTCAGTCGTACAAAAATTGAAGATCGATGGTCTGGTAAATTATTTCATGTGGGTCTCTTGCAATAATCTATAGAGTTATTACATTTTCTTTCAGATTTTGGGTACATAATGGAATAACTTGTTTTGATTCCAACTACAATGCTAAATACATGAGTGCAGCTCTGATTCCTGCCTAATATATGACCCTTTATATATACAGTCTATGATATTAACTAGGAGACCCCAATGTTTATATATTAAGAAACACTTAAGCACAGGTGCATCTGTTTTAAGGAGTTGCTGCCCACTGCCTAAAAGAGTTGTTTTTTCTCTTGTTTGGTTTCTACCAGCTCCTCAGTGAACTATCATGTTTAAGATCATAACATGTAATCAAGAGCTAGCTGCAATTCAGGTAGTGTGAATTTATCACAGCTTGTTTGGTAGAAATGGGGGGTTTCTTCACCCAAAATCAATGTTATTTACAGCGATGGGTCCCAAAACCAAAACAATGAGCTTCACTGCATCAAAAGCTGTAAATGTTGGTGATAATCACTGCCATTTTTGTCTGAAATGTAATGAGGCATTGGTACACTACTTAAATAAAAGGTGTAAATGGTGTCCCTATATTCCGTAAAAAGGTGAAACTTAAAAAGGTTTAACTGATATAAAAGATTATCAAGTCAGCCTTCTGTCTACTCTGTGATTGAGTCAGATCAACAACACAAACATGCTTTTATCAACTGTGAATAGACCACAATGCAATACTAATGTTTCCTCATTCAAGTCTATAGTCTCTTTCATTACTGTTCAGACAGACTGACAAATATGGCCTCAGTCAGATGTGGACATTGTCATCGATTTAGTCAAATACTCAAATCGTAACAAAACTGATCCCTGACGCTCTCAAACAAATGGGCTCATTACTCATTGTACAAACAAGCCGGCTTGATCCCAGACTTAGCTCTGCTCCGTGAATCTTTCAAGGGAGCCTAAATATCCACAACCAATCCCCAGCACACAACAATAGTAACAGGCTTTTCCTCCAAAATGAGCTTCAATTTCCCCTTTTGCATGGAGACAGCAGGGGGGTCTCCGTCTCGCCAGCCCTCTGTTATTCACCTAAACTTGTTCGATTACAAATTCATGCAGAAAAGTGCTTAGTTGTATCTGTTCCGCTGCTTGGTAGGTCAACGTCCTGTGCAAAGAAATGCACAAGTGTAGAAGAATGTATCGCTCCTCTGACTCGCTTTTTTCCAGCGATGGAGGTGAATCTCTCCTCTTTCCACTTCCTACCTGTCAGTTACGCCAGATGAGTGCCTTTGGAGCATGAAATCACACTCTCTTCTTCTATTCCTCTCTGTAGCTACAGAAAAACCCTAATTCCCAAGAAATGAAACAGACAAAAGCATCTTTCTCGGCACCTCTGATGCGCCCACCTTAGCTGCAAATGAAATACCCGACCCTCCCTGAACACAATGTTGTGTGAGGATGGAGCTTTGATATAAGTGCAGGAAGTCTGATTCATGTTCTGCTACAGCAGAGAAAGCTACATTTTACAAGCCTACTGCCGCTGTTTTTCCGAGGAATGAAAGAGACAGAAAGGAGGGTCATTCTTCGCTCCGTAGCCCTATTAACCCCATGCGGCCTGAAGGTGACACCGGAGGCAGAAACCTATCACAAGCTGTGTCTCACAAGATTCATTTATCTTCCCCCTCACCATATGTGCTCATCACGGAGCTTCCTCCGGACTTTATGTGCTCACGATGGGTGAAGATTGTATCTCATCACAAGCAGGCTGATAAAAAGCGTCATCTCCCATTTTATTTTTATCACCATAGTCATTGTTTTATAACAAGGAAATAATGTCCTTCTGGTGCATTTTTCTACTGTGCAAATGACACCTGAATGCAACAGACATATTTCAACTCTGAATTATAAATTGTTTATATTGCGTTCACTCTACATAGAGTTAAAAGATGCACAAAGAGTATAAATGTTTCAAGACTCACTTTATTTATTTGGTAGAGCAGTGTTACATTATATTGATTTTACTGATTCTTGGCCTTCTTATTTGATATGAGGTTATTGTATATTGAACATTTGTATTTACCTATGCCCAGGAAGTTCTGTTTTTTTTCGTTTTTTTCTGTCTCCTTGTCTATTAGCAATATTATGGAAATGTGTCTAACCTGATTGTTATCAAACTGGATGAAATGTTGGCCAAGGGAAAACAAATAAATAAGAGAGCTGATGACAGAGTATATAGTTATCCATTGCAGGAATAGGCATTTGTGCTCAGTAATTATAATTATTATAAAGAACTGGGAACATTTATGTAACTGCAAACATGTTCTTTAAATGCTTTGAGCGATAAAACACATTTTCTTTGTAGCCTCTATGTTATTTTAAATTTTCCAATAATCGTTCATGCTCATGTCCATCGCACTTCAAAGTCGGAAGAATGACTTTCCAACTTGGAAAATGGGACCATCCTAGGAGCATTGAACGCACCATCGGCCTTGACAGAGGACTGCGCTCTGCGAATGCCTTTTTATTTTATAGTTAATATATATTTATTACCTGCTAGGTATTGCATTGCAATGTTATCACCAAAGATAAACACAAACAATGTCGCTACAATTTTTCTTTATTGATAATATGTCCATATAATTCCATGTTGAATGTGGTAAAGCCTTACATTTGGTGCATATACTGTACCATGGTCTCTACAGTTCCCTAGCCATCATATATTTTAATGTAGCTTATATAGTTCAGATATCCTGTAGTTTAGGATATAACAATATGTTGTAACTCTTCCAGCAATGGTCATTTTGTTCTTCTTTCTTTCAAAGAAGGATTTCATATAAAGCTCTTCTGGGCAGCTTCCCATGTAAGCAGCTCCAGTTGGCAGTGAGAGGTACATCTTAAATCCTTCAAACCAGAAATCATACACTTTGATTTTGTAGATTTTCATGTTCAGAATCAAAGCTAGTCTGCCACTTTTTAACAAGGATAAAAAGAGGGACATGAGCAGAAGGTCTTATGTTTGTTTTTGAATACAATCTTTTTGGAGAAGAGTGTATTCAAGAGCATTTAAACAAGTATATATTAGTCAATTAAACTCAAATGTAATTCGAACAATATTAATGGGCTTCATTATTTCTAAATGTTATACCTTTTTAAGCCACCTTGCTTATTCAAAGTCTGTAAACACTGAGATTAGATTACTTTTGAGTCGGCCATATGTCTCCAGTAGATAAAGTAAATGGTATTTTAACTAAAATAAACCTAGTTTGGCTTGGTACTAGTTACATGACATCATTTGCAAAATCTCGCAACCGAGTGTGAAGCGGCTGGGGTGAGGATCAGCACCTCCAAATCTGAGGCCATGGTTCTCAGCAGGAAACCGATGGACTGTCCACTCCAAGTAGGGAATGAGTCCTTACCCCAAGTGAAGGAGTTCAAGTATCTCGGGGTCTTGTTCTCGAGTGAGGGAACAATGGAGCGTGAGATGGGCCGGAGAATCGGAGCAGCGGGAGCGGTACTGCAGTCGCTTTACCGCACCGTTGTGACAAAAAGGGAGCTGAGCCAGAAGGTAAAGCTCTCTGTCTACCGGGCCATTTTTTGACCTATGGTCATGAAGTATGGGTCATGACCGAAAGAACGAGATCATGGATACAAGCGGCCGAGATGGGTTTTCTCCGCAGGGTGTTTGTAAATCTGACTCTTTCAGAGTCAGATTTACAAATATTATATTTTGACCTTAATCAAAATATTCGGTTATTTTCAAAAGCTTTTTTAGCCTGATGCTTCAATTAATTTTAAACAGACCATTCAACAAAAGGATACCCAAAATCTAAATATTGGATTGTTCTTTCTTAGTAAGATGATCCCATGTTCATTACAATTGTGGTCTTACCTTGACTTGAAGATTAAGTCCATGCTCTCCTTCTGGACAACAATCTCCATTACATTTTTGTAAAAGTCCTCCTTATCTCCCTCTAGTTTCAAAACAAAAGTCTAGTTTGTTGTTTGCGTCTACCGTCTCTGCGTAGAATAACAGTAGCAACAAGAACCTGTGGGCTCACGTGCGCCCCCTTCAGTGCGGCAGAGGTTATGGCTGCCTCTCCAGGTGCTTTTTTCATTGCCGTTGTATGATGAGACCAGCGGGCCTAAATATCATATACGT